CGGAGATTTCTCTCTTCGCCAATAACCATACCAGGCGTGATTCTCCCTCACCTCCCAAATTTCTCAGTTAATGACATACAGGATCCTTTTAAGCAGTTTAAAGGAGAACTTACCTGAACTCTACGCGCTCCCTCGATAAAGCTATCAAAGGAGTAAATCTTTAATGTAAGATTAAATGAGCTAACTTCAATGTTTACTCTTTTCTACCACGAAAAGCGTAAACATGCTTTCTAGAAAAAAATTAATGCGTTCAACTCACTTTCAATGATAACTTAATTACTTTCAGCGCCTACCTGGAATTAGGTTTAAAATTTAAATGAACTATAAACCTTGAGTCACCATTTATCTTTAAAGATAAGACTTTTAAAGAAATTTTTACTCTGAAACAATTTCAAACTTGCAAAAATATAATACAAAAAATACAAAGAACTGCCATATATGTTTTACTCAGATTCACCAATTATTAACAATTTGGCACATTTTCTTTCTCATTCATTCCTTCATTCTCTTATATAGACATGCATGTATACACACACATACATGCATGCATAGACATATTTCTTTTGAACCATCTGAAAAAAGTAGCAGACACTATGCTCTTTTATCCCTAAATGCTTCACTGTGGGCTTCCTAAAAATAAAGATATTAATTTATATAACCACAGGTACTCCGTAACTTGGGAGGTGAAGGAGGAGAGGATTGCTTCAGCCCAGGAGTTTGAGGCTAAAGTGATGAGCTATAATCCCATGGCCCCTGCACCAACATAATAGCATATTTTTAAATAATTTTTCAAGGGGGGGGGGAGCAAAAATTTAGTAGTACCCAAAATATAAATATTTCCAATAAAAGTACAAAAGAACAATTCTAGAATACTTTCAAGATTGGTAAGACCTACCAGCACCTCTCTCTCTTAATATATCCTGAAAGTTATATAATACAGAGTTCATAGTTTAAAGATACTTTAAGGATTGGTAAGCAATTAGATATTGTAAATAATGTCCACAAAATAGGGAGTCATGTACTATTGGCATGAAACATTCATGTTAATCATCAATCCGCCTGAAGCTATGTCTAAATTCTGGTCACTGCATAAAAGTACAACTTTATCTACATTATTGCCTCTACCTAAGTAATAATGGCCTACATAAACAATTCTTTCATTATTCATATTCTCCTGTTTATTTAGAACACAAGAACAACATATCACTTATAGGCATCACCAAGTGTGGCTTTTAACATATCTCTGTTCAACTCCAATCCTTTCAATCCAAATCTCTTTTGGTAAATGAGGCCATAAAGCATATAATATTTTAAAGTTCCCAAAAACTCTTAATATTTTGCCATACTGGTATAAGAATCACTATAATGGTGCAAACCCACAACTGTAGAACTTATCTGTTAAAGCTGAGTGTCTATTCAAAGCTAATACATTCAAGACCTCTATGGTAGTAGCATGATATATCATAGTTCACACACTATTTTCTTGCTCTTTTTCTATAATTCACCTTTTACGGCTCAAACCTAAAGGATTGCTATGATAGATTATTGGAGAGAAAACAAGATGAATAATGACATATGCAAGGACTAAGAAATAGTCCAAAGTAATTAGGGTAGAAAGCATTTAAAAGGGGAAAGGCTGATATAAACAATGATAATGATCTACCAACGGATCCAATGCCTGCTAAAGAGCGCATTAAACTGATTCACACACTGCCTCGTGCGCACAGTGGGTAAGTGTAATCTTTTTGAAAGCAGAGCCAGTAGAGGCACCACTCCTTAAAAACAAATTCCTACTGGGGATAGGTCATGGATGGAGACTCAGGATTTTGGGGATTTGGGGGGAAATGGGCCATTTTATTGAAAACCTTAAAATCTGTACCCTATAATTGCCAAAATAAAAAAAAATTAAAAATAAAAAAAAAACATTCTACCATACTATTTGATACAGAGCCTGTGGATAATACAGCAACAGGCCAGCAGGAAGGAAGTGCTCCAGCTCTGGACTTCTGATCTCCCATCAGATCCCAGGCTTTGCTATTGTCACTTACTGATCCAACTGTAATGACAAGCAAAGATACTTAACCACTCTGACCCTCAGATTCTCAACACAAAATTGGGGGTTATAACAGGCACCTACCACGACCAGATTATTGTGAAGATTAAGTGCATTAACACAGGTCAATCCTTCACGTATCTTGATGTATTCAAATTGCTACCATCGTTGCAGTAAGTAGTAATCTTTGAGAAATCTAGCTAAACAATCTAAAGAAAAATTTTAGGCCAGACAAATATTTTTTTTTGTATATTAAACAGCCGTAAAGTTAAAAACCAACAATAACAAATCTAACAAATGCAAGTGATGTCATAGAAAGAGTACGGAGTCCTGATATGGATTATTTTGGAAGGCTAATAAAAATGAGAGTTTATGATGAAATACCAAAATATTCATCAAAAAGATATATAAAGATAAGTATACATACAGCATAAGTAAAATTGTAGTTGAAGCACGATCTATATGCAGTGGTTGAAAAAAGAAATGCAATAACGCATAGTTAGTGGATGGTTGGTATTCAGAAATGACTAAGGATGGATTTCCCAACTCCCAAATTTTATTGAATGAACATACAGATCCTTTTAAACAAAGTTTTAAAGGAGAAACTTAAACCCTGAACATAGTAAACCTTGGATTAAGTATAAGGGGATAAAATTCTTTAAATTTTAAGATTTAAACTGAGAGCAAATAACTTCATATTCTACTCTTTTCTACCACAAAACGTAAACCATCGTTTCTAGAAAAACAAAAATTAATGGTTTTCAATCACTTTCAATGGACCTATTAATTACTTTAGGATATGGAATTCGTTTTTAAGAAAATGTCCTTGTTCCTAGAATATACACATTGTTGTACTTAGGTATATAAGGGGCATTATGTCTGTAAATCACTTTATTTGGTTCAAAATAAAATTAGTTCATGTATGTATATATACAAACATGTAAACATATATAAAAATATAAATGGGACGATTAAGTAAAGGGCTTATGGGACTTCTTGGTACTGTTCTTCCAGTTTCTAAAAGTCTTAAATTTTCTCAAAATAAAGAGTTAGAAAAAACTGCATAAATTTTATTAACAACTGCAGTTTACCTTTGACTTACCTCTTTTAGTATCAAGCATAGTTACTACCAATACATAAAACAGCAGCATATGGGATATTACTAAGTGTTAATAAAAAACGAGGAATACATGATCAATTTGGGGAAAATATTGAAAAATAAAGTTAAAATAGGTTTAGCCCTAATGTCCTAAATACCTCTAAGTCTCCAAGTGGGGTTACACAGTAATAAAAAGTTCAGGGGCAGAGCAGAGTTTAGAAGCTGTTGCTCTAAAGCAGGGGTTCTAAAACTTAAGTGTATCAGAATCACCTGAAAAGCTTGTTAAAAAATAGATTTCTGGGCCCCACCACCAAAATTCCTGATTCAATAATTACAGGGTAAGGTCTCTAAGAATCTGTATTTTTAACACGTTGTCAGGTTCCCTGTTCTTCCAAGGACTATACACTTTGAGAAACATTGTTCTAAATCAGTGTCAACTGTTAAACCATAAGCTTCCCAACAAAAGAGGAATTGTTCATATTTAATCCATTACACATATCCTATTATGGTGTCATGTTGGATACTGCACAGTTCATAATATGTGAAAGGAAATAATAAATGCGAAGACCTCATAGGCACTGAGGAGCAATTTGAACCCTTCTTTACTAAATGCTACATTTTAAGTTCTTATGACATATAGCTAAATTTGGAAGGGGGGAAAAACCCACAAAAATGAGAATGAGAAACAGGGCCAAAATAAATCTAAAAGAAATGTGACAAAATGAAGAAGTAACCATTTGAATCCCTAATCAGTACCTCTATTATCAATTCTATCAGTGCCTATCTCAGCAATCTCTTTCAATTAAACTTGTTAGGTACAACGTAAATTATTTGTTTATGCAGTGTCTTCTACCTCTCTTTAAAATTTTCAGGAAATCTTGTTTAAAAAAACCTTAGAATATTTGGCTATATTCATTTACTAGTTCCATTTGAATAGAAAACAGGAGTGCAGATATGGGATCATAAGATCATAAAGGAAGTGATGGAGGAAGTAAATCTATGGCTTTCAACATAAATAAATTTCCACAAAGTGAAATACCTTTCTTCTCTTGCTTCAGGGCTATTCTGTGATGTAATTGAAGATTCTTTTTTCTTTTCTTCAGGGTCTTTGTCAGATGATGGCCCATCTAAAAATTTATGAAATCACTAAGTTGTTAGCATTTTTTAAAAATAAAAACTACAAAAATACTGCATGGTGAGAGGCTATTTATGCAATGCCCCCCGAAAAAGAACTAAAATCTAAATGAGTTTACATAAGCTATTCTATTCATATATACATATATACTTTAGTATTTTTCACAATGCATGTTCAGTCAACACTCTCAAATAAATTCTCTCATTTGATGGGAGTTATAAATTCATTTGCTAATGAGAATCTTTTAGGGAAGTATACAGAAAAAGAGAAGAAAAGAATATGGAAATATCAACACTGTCACTTTAAAAATGAAAGCACATTAGCCTGGTGTGGTGGCACGCCTGCAGTCTCAGCTACTCCCTGCAGTCTTAGCTACTCCATAACTTGGGAGGCTGAAGGAGGAGAGGATTGCTTCAGCCCAGGAGTTTGAGGCTACAGTGAGTGAGCTATAATCCCATGCCCCTGCACCAAGCATAATAGCATATTTTTAAATAATTTTTCATGGAGCAAAAATTTAAGGTAGTCCCAAAATATAAAATTTCCATAAAAGTACACAAAGAACAATTTCCATAAAATACTTTCAAGATTAGTAAGACCTACCCAGCACCTCTCTCTCTTAATAATCTGTAAAGTTATAATATACAGATGTTCAGCTTTAAGACTTTAAGGAGGTAAGCAATTAGATATTGTAAAATAAGTGTCCACAAATAGTGAGTATGTACTTGGATGAAAACTTCATGTTTAAATCAATCAACGCCTTGAAGCTATTTAAAATGTTGAGTCTACTGCAAAAAGTACACTACTTATCTACATTTTGCTTCCTACCTAGTATAATGGCTACATAAACAATTCTTTTCATTATTCATATTTCTCTGTTATAGAACACAGAACAACATATTCAACTGATATAGGATCACCAAGGGGCTTTTAACATATCCCTCTGTCAACTCCAGATCCATTCAATCCAATCTCTGGTAATGAGGCACAAGCATCATAATATTTTAAAGTTCCCAAAAACTCTATATATGCCATCTGGATAAGAATCACTGATAATGGTGCAAACCACAACTGTAGAACTTATCTTGTAAAGCTGAGTCTTATCAAACCAAAATACATTCCAAAGACCTCTATGGGTATAGCATGAGTATATGCATAACACTATTCTTGCTCCTTATTCTCTATAATTCACCGTTTACGGCCTCAAAAACCTAAGATGCTATATAGTTATTGTGAGGTAGAAAACAAGATGAATAATGACATATGCAAGGACTAAGAAATAGTCCAAAATAATAGGGTAGAAAGCATTTAAAAGGGAAAGGTGATATAACAATGAAATATGATCTACCAAGGATCAATGCTGCTAAAGAGGCATTAAACTGATCTCACACACTGCTCTGGCACAGTGGGTAAGTGTAATCTTTTTGGAAAGCAGAGCAGTAAGAGGCACCACTCCTTAAAAACATTCCTACTGGGAAGGTCATGATGGAGACTCAGACTTTTGGGGAGTGGGGAAATGGGATTTATTGAAACCTTAAAATCTGTACCCCTATAATATGCCAAAATAAAAAAAAATTAAAATAAAAAAAAAACATTCTACCATACTATTTGATACAGAGCTGTGGATAATACAGCACAGCCAGCAGGGAAGGAAGTGCTCCAGCTCTGGACTCTGATTCCACAATCAGATCCCAGCTTGGCTATTCACTACTGATCCAACTGTATGCAAGCAAAGATACTTAACCACTCTGACCCTCAGATTCCTCAACACAAAATGGGGATTATAACAGCACCTACCACACCAGATTATTGTGAAGATTAAGTGCATTAACACAGGTCAATGCTTCACGTATCTTATGTATTCAAAAATGTGCTACCTCGTTGCAGTAGTAGTAATCTTTGAGAAATCTAGCTAACAATCTAAAGAAAAATTTTAGGCAGACAATATTGGATATTAACAGCCGTAAAGTTAAAAAACAACAATAACAAATCTAACAATATGCAAGTGATTCACTAAATATGGTACGTCACTGATGGATTATTTTGGAAGCTAATAAAAATGAGAGTTATGATGAAAAATACAAAATATTTCATCAAAAAGATAATATAAATAAGTATACATACAGCATAAGTAAAATTGTAGTTGAAGCAGAATCTATGCATTGTTGAAAAAAGAAATGCAATAAGATATTAGCTGATGGTTGTATTCAGAAATGACCTAAGGATGATTTCCCAACTCCCAAATTTTATTTAATGAACATACAGATCTTTTAACAAAGTTTTAAAAGGAGAACTTAAACTGAAATTAGGTACCTTGGATAAGTATAAAGGAGTAAAATTCTTTAAATTTAAGATTAAATGAGCATAACTTCAATATGTCTACTCTTTTCTACCACAAAACGTAAACCATCTTTCTAGAAAAAAAAATTAATGGTTTTCAATCAACTTTCAATGACTAATTAATTACTTTAGGATATGGAATTAGGTTTAAAATTTAAATGAACTATAAACCTTGAGTCACCATTTATCTTTAAAGATAAGACTTTTAAAGAAAATTTTTACTCTGAAACAAATTCAAACTTGCACAAATATAATACAAAAAATACAAAGAACTGCCATATATTTTACTCAGATTCACCAATTATTAACAATTTGGCACATATTCTTTCTCATTCATTCCTTCATTCTCTTATATAGACATGCATGCATAGACATATTTCTTTTGAACCATCTGAAAAAAGTAGCAGACACTATGCTCTTTTATCCCTAAATGCTTCACTGTGGGCTTCCTAAAAATAAAGATATTAATTTATATAACCACAGCAAATAATGATTAAATTCAACAATGTATAATATTATTAATTAATCTGCAGACCTTATAAAATTTTGCCAATTGTCCCAATAATGATCTTTTTTTTTTTTTTTTTTGAGACAGAGTCTTGCTTTGTTGCCCAGGTTAGAGTGAGTGCTGTGGCGTCAGCCTAGCTCACAGCAACCTCAATCTTCTGGGCTCAAGCAACCCTGCTGCCTCAGCCTCCCAAGTAGCTGGGACTACAGGCATGCGCCACCATGCCGGCTATTTTTCTCTATATATTAGTTGGCCCATTAATTTCTTTCTATTTATAGTAGAGAAGGGGTCTCGCTCTTGCTCAGGCTGGCTTCGAACTCCTGACCTCAAGCAATCCGCCCACCTCGGCCTCCTAGACTACTAGGATTACAGGCGTGAGCCACCGCACCAGGCCAATAATGATCTTTTTATATTTTTTCTTGTCCAGAATGCAATATAGGATGATGTATTATTATATTTTGTTTTCTTAAGACTAGACTTAAAAATTCTATAGCTGTTCAACTTTTAGTTCCTAGCTTCCATCTCTTTTAAGTAATGGGTTTTTTGTTGTTGTTACTATTGTCTTTGAAATTTTAAAAGGTTCACTTTTCCAGTTTTCCCTTCCATATAAGGTACTAGCTGTTTAAAGAAATGGCTGATTCCACGGCTAGGGCAGAGAAAATAGATGAACCCAATACATCTCGTGGTGCTAGAATATAAGAAAATGGTCAAAAAGCTGAAACAGATTTGTCAAAAGGACACGGGAGCCAGTTTGAAGGGGTGCCCACTGGCCAAATCTCAAACAATGAAAATATCAAAATAAATCTGAATAGTAATGGATTACAATCCATCATATAGACTAGAAATCCACAAGTCCACACTAATAATAGATAAATAAGGCCGGATGCGGTGGCTCACGCCTGTAATCCTAGCACTCTGGGAGGCCAAGGCGGGTGGATTGCTCGAGGTCAGGAGTTCAAAACCACCCTGAGCAAGAGCGAGACCCTGTCTCTATATAAATAGAAAGAATTAATTGGCCAACTAATATATATATCAAAAAAATTAGCCGGGCACGGTGGTGCATGCCTGTAGTCCCAGCTACTGGGAATGCTAAGGCAGTAGGATCGCTTGAGCCCAGCAGTTTGAGGTTGCTGTGAGCTAGGCTGACGCCACGGCACTCACTCTAGCCTGGGCAACAAAGTGAGACTCTGTCTCAAAAAAAAATAAATAAAAAAAAAAAAAGATAAATAGCTGGGAGTAAATGGAGGGCTCCTTGTTATAGAATGATAATGTGTAAACATTAAAGTGGAAGAGTCAGAAAATCACAATTTTACAACCATCATTGTAATCACTGGGTAAGAATCAATGGATACTAAATTGGGAGAGGAGAGAGATCTGATAAGGCCGAAGACAGTTTCAAGGTCTTCAAGCATCTCCCACAGAATGGCAATTAGTTACAGGAGAAAAACTAATAAACTATACAGCGTACACACTTATACTGGATTCTCAAAATTACCATCATCAATGCCTCTGGATATAATATCTTAAAAAGCATGCTTATGTAGTATTCCAACTGTAGATGTACAACTTGAATTAACCATGAAAAAACAGCAAATCAACCTCAAATAAGGAACATGCTATTAAAAATAACAGGGAAGCCAGGCGCAGTGCCTCACATCTGTAATTCCAGCACTTTGGGAGGCTGAGGCAGGAGGATTGCATGAGCCCAGGAATTCAAAGCCAGCCTAGGCAAAATAGCAAGATCTCCATCTCTAAAAACAAAACAAAACAAAACAAACAATAACAACAAAAAACCCAGAGAGTGAATAAACTTGCTTCAAGTATATAACTTAAAAATTTGAAGTTTTGATTTCAATACATTTCCCAGCTTAGTTTTAAACCAAAATCCAATTCTACTTTGTATTCATTATACCTAGTCATTTTCTGTATGTTGTATAACATCCAAGTTCTATTTCCTGAGACCGAAAAATATGCTAACTTTTGATTTTTAAGCCCATTATCAATTTGATAAAAATTTGATTTGCATGCAAGTCAATATTTTTAAAACACCACATTAGTGTTTACGTGAATCTATATATATGATAAAATTGCTTAGAACCATACATTCTCACAAATATAAACTAGTACATGTAAAAACTGTTGAAATCTGTATAAAGTCTATAGATTGCACCAATGTCAATATCCTGGTTGGGACAGTATATACTGCAAGTTATGTAATTTTACCATTGGAGGAAGCTGGATGAAGGCTTCCATGAGACCTTTCTGCACTGTTGTTTATCAACAAAAAACTAACAGCCCCAAAATAAGATTTAGAAGAAGGGAATTCATATCTGTTGGGCTAAGACCCTATGGACAAGGACAGAGTAAATTTCCTGGAGAGGCAATAACTAATAGAGAAAGATCACAGGTCAAATAAAAACAAGAAACGAAATCATAAAGCCAAATAAACAGGTGGGTATTAAAATGAGAAAGGACATTCATTTCTGCCGTAGAGAAAAACAAACAGAGATGGCACTTGTATTCTTCAAAATGTCAATGTCATAAAAGACAAAGAAAGGCTTAAGAACTATTCCAGATTAGGAAACTAGAGGTAAACTGGATCTTATTCTAGAGGAGAAAAAATTTAAAAAGCTATAAAGGACATTATTGGGATAACTGACAAAACTGGAACATGGATTACCGATTAAAGTATAATACTATGCCAATGTTAAATTTCCTAAATTTCCTATACTACGGTTCCATAAGAAAATAAACTTCTTCTAATGAAAAAACAGTTAAGTATTAAAGGGTAAAAGAGCATTATATATTCAACTTATTTTCAAATGGTTCAGAAAAAACAATTTGTGTCTATTTATGTATACATATAAAGAGAGAGAAGGAGAGAGAATAGGATAAAACAAATATGGCAAATATTAAAAATTGATGATCTGGATAAAGGATCTTTTTATTATTCTTTTTATTCTTTGTTGTTGTATTCTTTGTTGCTTTTATTCTTATTGTTCTTTTTGTTATTCTTGCAAGTTTTCTGGAAGTTAAAAAATTATTTCAATTATTTCAAAAATTATGTACATTTCCCCTGGGAGGAAATTCTTCTTACTTAAAGAAGTTTATCCAGTTGTTAAGTGTCAAAAGTTAAGAAAGCTAAATCTGACTAGCCTAAAAGGCAAAACCCTAAAGAAGGTCAAACTGATCCCCTTCCCCTTTATTATGAGGCACTGATTCCAATACATCTAGATTCATAGAAAAAAAAAAAAAATGCAACCACCAACTATTTGAATAAACCAGAACATCATAAATATATGTAAGAGAAAATCAATTATACCTAATAACTTTTTCCAGGATTTGATGAGAGACTTCGCTAAAGATGTAACTTCTTCATCTGTACTCTGCTTACGAATAGCATTAACTGACATTCCAATTCTTGTGGACTACAAGGCAACAAAAACAATTATATACACCAATCTTATTTTAAACAACTTAGTATGTCACCCACATTTTCCCCTTTCCAAGATTCCTATTTCCATTTTAGAATTTAAAAACTTCAATTATTTGAATTTTTGTAATAGCAAACTATATTCTTAAAATACATACATCTTCAGATCAAGCATCTTCATCACTGAGATCTACAAGCACACAATTTGCTACTGTAATAAGGCTGGTTAACTCGAGAAATGAAATCAGTCTTTCTACAAGGGAGAAGTGAGGATAAAATATAAAATGTTGCATTTGTGTATATAAAAGGCAGGCTGAAGCAATCATGGCTAATTTTAATATATATATATATACTTCTTGGTTTCTATACATTCTTCTATATACACTACACAAAGCACCAGCCACGAATGATATCCAAACAAAAACTACACTTACAGGGGTTTAGAAGTCTTTTGGGGGGCCAGTAATCAGCATATAACAACAGATATTAAAATGGACATCAAAGAATATAGATAAAATTCAACATGTGATAATACTACGTGCCCAGGATTATGCTCGGAGCATCCATTAATCTTCCTAACAACCTTTGAAGTTGACATCATCACTATTTTTAAAGATGAAGAGATTGGAAGTACCAATAAATAACTTGCCCAGCATTCCACCATTACCAATTGGCAAAGCTGGGAATTTAATCCAGATCTGTCCATCTCCAAAGGCCATGTTCTTTCCGACACATCAATGGCTTTCTAATTGTGCTCAAAGAACACAAAAGCTATGACAGTCCAATTATAGGTGGTAAATAAAAAATGGTAAATTATTTAGTAAATTCAGGTTGTTAGTAGATAATCTTTCAAAACATATCGTCTATGGAAGAAAAAAAAAAAAAAAAGAAATCCTAAGGGGGAAAAAAAAAAAAGAAGAGAACCCCCGTTATAAGCCTTATGGCAGAAAAATAAAGGGTACTTAAGAATTCCTTCTAAATTACTCAACCCTCTCCCTCTCAACAAAAAGACAGATTCTGGACATAAGTTTTGTTCAAGAATTTAGAATAAGTGCTTGGCTAGAGTATCCTATGTTACATCTCTTAGAAAGCTGAGCAAAGCAGATAAGGTTCAACAGCAGAAAGAAGAAAGATAAAAGGGACCCCACAATGCTAATGCCCCAAAGTCATTTGGGGTTAACAAGTCATTTACAAAAAAGCCTATTTTTTGAATGAGTGGAGGAAATGAGTTACTAATGTAGTTCTGAAGCTAGTTGAAGCAGAATCTATGCATGTTGAAAAAAGAAATGCAATAAGATTTAGCTGATGGTTTATTCAGAATAGACCTAAGGATGATTTCCCAACTCCAAATTTTATTTAATGAACATACAGATCTTTTAACAAAGTTTTAAAAGGAGAACTTAAACTGAAATTAGGTACCTTGGATAAGTATAAAGAGTAAAATTCTTTAAATTTAAGATTAAATGAGCTAACTTCAATTAATGTCTTCTTTTACACACAAACGTAAACCATCTTTCTAGAAAAAAAAATTAATGGTTTTCAATCAACTTTCAATGACTAATTTAATTACTTTAGGATATGGAATTAGGTTTAAAATTTAAATGAAACTATAACCTTGAGTCACCATTTATCTTTAAAGAAAGACTTTTAAAGAAATTTTACTCTGAAACAATTTCAAAACTGCACAAATATAATACAAAAATACAAAGAACTGCCATATATGTTTTACTCAGATTCACCAATTATTAACAATTTGGCACATTTCTTCTCATTCATTCTTCATTTCTTATATAAATGCATGTTAACACACATACATGCATGCATGAATATTCTTTTGAACCATCTGAAAAAAGTAGCAGACACTATGCTCTTTATCCCTAAATGCTTCACTGTGGGCTTCCTAAAAATAAAGATATTAATTATATAACCACAGCAAATAATGATTAAATTCAACAATTATAATATTATTAATCTGCAGACCTTATAAAATTTTGCCAATTGTCCAATAATGATCTTTTTTTTTTTTTTTTTTGAGACAGAGTCTTGCTTTGTTGCCCAGTTAGAGTGAGTGGCTGTGGCGTCAGCCTAGCTCACAGCAACCTCAATCTTCTGGGCTCAAGCAACCCTGCTGCCTCAGCTCCAAGTAGCTGGGACTACAGCATGCGCCACCATGCCCGGCTTAATTTTTTCTCTATATATTAGTTGGCCCATTAATTTCTTTCTATTTATAGTAGAGGAAGGGTCTCGCTCTTGCTCAGGCTGGCTTCGAACTCCTGACTCAAGCAATCCGCCCCACCTGGCTCCTAGACTACTAGGATTACGGCGTGAGCCACCGCACCAGGCCAATAATGATCTTTTTATATTTTTCTTGTCCAGAATGCAATATAGGATGATGTATTATTATATTTTGTTTTCTAAGACTAGACTTAAAAATCTATAGCTGTTCAACTTTTAGTTCCTAGCTTCATCTCTTTTAAGTAATGGGTTTTTTTGTTGTTACTATTGTCTTTGAAATTTTAAAAGGTTCACTTTTCCAGTTTTCCCTTCCATATAAGGTACTAGCTGTTTAAAGAAATGGCTGATTCCACGGCTAGGGCAGAGAAATAGATGACCCAATACATCTCGTGGTGCTAGATATAAGAAAATGGTCAAAAAGCTGAAACAGATTTGTCAAAAGGACACGGGAGCCAGTTTGAAGGGGTGCCCACTGGCCAAATCTCAAACAATGAAAATATCAAAATAAATCTGAATAGTAAGGATTACAATCCATCATATAGACTAGAAATCACAAGTCCACACAATAATAGATAAATGAGGGGACGTGCGGTGGCTCACGCCGTAATCCTAGCACTCTGGAGAGCCGAGGCGGGTGGATTGCTCGAGGTCAGGAGTTCAAAACCACCCTGAGCAAGAGCGAGACCCTGTCTCTACTATAAATAGAAAGAAATTAATTGGCCAACTAATATATATATCAAAAAAATTAGCCGGGCACGGTGGTGCATGCCTGTAGTCCCAGCTACTGGGAATGCTAAGGCAGTAGGATTGCTTGAGCCCAGCAGTTTGAGGTTGCTGTGAGCTAGGCTGACGCCACGGCACTCACTCTAGCCTGGGCAACAAAGTGAGACTCTCTCAAAAATAAATTAAAAAAAAAAAAAATAAATAGCTGGGAGTAAATGGAGGGGTCCTTGTTATAGAATGATAATGTGTAAACATTAAAGTGGAAGAGTCAGAAAATCACAATTTTACAACCATCATTGTATCACTGGGTAAGAATCAATGGATACTAAATTGGGAGAGGAGAGAGATCTGATAAGGCCGAAGACAGTTTCAGGTCTTCAAGCGTCTCCCACAGAATGGCAATAGTTACAGGAAAAACTAATAAACTATACAGCGTATACACTTATACTGGATTCTCAAATTACCATCATCAATGCCTCTGGATATAATATCTTAAAAAGCGATGCTATGTAGTATTCCAACTGTAGATGTACAACTTGATTAACCATGAAAAACAGCAAATCAACCTCAAATAAGGAACATGCTATTAAAAAAAAAGGAAGCCAGGCGCAGTGCCTCACATCTGTAATTCCAGCACTTTGGGAGGCTGAGGCAGGAGGATTGCATGAGCCAGGAATTCAAAGCCGCCTAGGCAAAATAAGCAAGATCTCCATCTCTAAAAACAAACAAACAAACAATAACAACAAAAACCAAGAAGTGAATAAACTTGCTTCAAGTATATACTTAAAAATTTGAAGTTTTGATTTCAATACATTTCCCAGCTTAGTTTTTAAACCAAAATCCAATTCTACTTTGTATTCATTATACCTATCATTTCTGTATGTTGTATAACATCCAAGTTTATTTCCTGAGACCGAAAAATATGCTAACTTTTGATTTTTAAGCCCATTATCAATTTGATAAAATTGATTTGCATGCAAGTCAATATTTTTAAACACCACATTAGTGTTTACGTGAAATTATATATATGATAAAATTGCTTAGAACCATACATTCTCACAATATAAACTAGTACATGTAAAAACTGTTGAAATCTGTTAAAGTCTATGATTGCAACCCAATGGTAATATCCGTAATCCCATGCCCCTGCACCAAAGCATAAATAGCAATATTTTTAAAATAATTTTTCATGAAGCCAAAAATTTAAGGTAGTACCCAAAATATAAATATTTCCATAAAAGTACACAAAGAACAATTCCATAGAAAACACCTCAAGATTAGTAAGACCTACCCAGCACCTCTCTCTCTTAAATGATCTGTAAAGTATAATAATACAGAGTGTACAAGCTTTAAGACTTAAGGAGGTAAGCAATTAGATATTGTAAAATAATGTCCACAAAATAGGATGAGTCAATGCACTATTTTAGTACTGGCATGAAACATTCATGTTTAAATCAATCAAAACCGCCTTGAAGCTAGGTTCATAAAATGTCTGAGTCTACTGCATAAAAAGTACACTACTTATCTACATTTTGCTTCCTACCTAAGTAATAATGGCTACATAAACAATTCTTTCAATTATTCATATCTCTCTGTATAGAACACAGAACAACATATATTCAACTGGATATAGGATCACCAAGGGAGCTTTTAAACATATCCTCATGTCAAACTCCAATCCAGATCCATTCAATCCAAATCTCTGGTAATGAGGCACAAGCATCATAATATTTTTAAAGTTCCCCAAACAACTCTAATATGCCATCTGGATAAGAATCACTGATAATGGTGCAAACCACAACTGTAGAACTTATCTTGTAAAGCTGAGGTCTATCAAACCTAAAATACAATTCAAGACCTCTATGGTATAGCATGAGTATATGCTTTAGTTTTCACACACTAATTTTATTGCTCCCTGTTATTCTCTATAATTCACCTTTACGGCCTCAAAACCTAAAGATGCTATATAGTTATTGTGAGGTAGAAAACAAAGATGAATAATGACATATGGCAAGGACTAAGAAATAGTCCAAAAGT